CCTAGCTAATTTTTTGTATCTTTAGTAGAGACAGGGTTTCACCATGTTACCCAGGCTGGTCTCAAACTCCTGACCTCGTGATCTGCCTGCCTCAGCCTCCCAAAGTGCTGGGATCACATGGGATTATAGGCATGAGCCACCACGTCTGGCCCTTCTTTTTTTTTTTTTTTCTTGAGACAGACTCTTGCTCTGTCGTCCGAGCTAGGGTGCATTTGCACGGTTTCAGCCCACCACAACCTCTGCCTCCTGGGTTTAAGTGATTTTTGTGCCTCAGCCTCCTGAGTACCTGGGACTACAGGTGCGCGCACCACCACACGTGGCTAATTTTAATATTTTTAGTAGAGATAGGGTTTCGCCATGTTGGTCTCGAACTCCTACCCTTGAGTGATCTGCCCACCACAGCTTCTCAAAGTGCTGGGATTGCAGGCATGAACCACTGCATCCGGCCACTTTTTCTTGACCTCTCTCTGGCATTTAATACTGCTGATGTTTCCTCCCATGTCTCCTCTGAAACTACTTGTCCTGTTCCTTCTACCTCTTGGGATATGTTTCCCCTGTATGTTTTCTTTCCTCACTTTTAACATATGGGTGTTTTCATAAGGTTCCAAAGTAGATCCTCTTCTTTTCTTTCTCTATCCCTTCTCTCAGGGATTTCATCTACATCCATGAACTACCCCTTATTCTGACGACTCTAGCATAGATCTCTCTCTCCTGAGTTCTAGACTTCCCTGTTCAATTATATAGTAGATAGCTTCACTTTGATATCCCATGGACACTTCAACTCAACATGTTGAAAAGTAAACTAATTACCTTCACTCCACAACCTGCTTTTCCTCCTGAGGTCCCTATCTTGGACCTCAGGCTATATCTGCAGGATATGATGGGAGGAGAGTTTAGGAAAATGGGAGGATACCACTGATGAAGGATACCATCAATAATCAAATTCTGTTGGTTCTATGTCCTTCATATCTCTTGAAGCCTTTCAATCCCTCCACTCTCCATTTCCATTCTTGCTACCTTAGTTTAGACATCCATCCTTATTTCTTTCTTAAAATGTGACATGGTTTGGCTCTGTGTCCCATATCAAACTGTAATCCCATGTCTGAGGGAGGGACCTGGTGGGAGGTGACTGGATCATGGGGGCAGTTCCCCACATGCTGTTCTCATGACAGTGAGGGAGTTCTCATGAGATCCGATGGTTTTAAAAGTGGCAGCCTCCCCTGCATGCTCTCTCTCTCCTGCCTCGTTGTGAAGGTGCCTGCTTCCCCTTCACCTTCCACCATGACTGTAAGTTTCCCCAGGCCAGAGTGCAGTGGCATGATCCCTGCTCATTGCAACCCCTGCTTCTCCAGTTCAAGTGATCCTCCTGAGGCGCTAGGACTACAGGTGTGGGCCACCAGGCCTGGCTAATTTTTTTTTTTTTTTGTATTTTTGTAGAGATGGGGTTTCACCATGTTGCCCAGGCTGGTCTCAAACTCTTAAACTCACGCAATCTGCCCACCTCAACCTCCCAAAGTGCTGGGATTACAGTAGTGAGCCACTGCACCCAGCTGAAAGATCTTCTAAAATCAACATCTGATCATTTTACTATGCCCCTTAAAATTCATCAGCTGTTCTCCATTGGCCTTAGAATAAGTTCAAACTTCTTAAGAAGACATACTCGAGCATGCTAACCTTCCTGGATTTCTCCTCAGGACTTCTGCCATTCATTTATACAAGGTATTTATTTAGAACCTACTTGCCAGGCACTGTTCTTCACCCTCAATTCTCTGGGCACAGCTTTTTCCATAAGATCTTCACACATAGCACTTTCTTTGCCTGGAATATCTTTCCCTACAACCTGCCCATTTGTCTGGCTTACTTCTACATACCCTTCAGAACTCATCTCAAGATTCAGCTTGTGTGGTTAGAGATTCTATGTGTGGTCACGTTAGGTACCCTTCTTATGAGCTCCCCTGTTGATATCATCTCATGCTTGTGTGATCAACTGTATATATTCACCTTTGTTCTCATGATAGTATAGTGTCCTTCAGAGCAGAAACTGTGTCTTATTCATCTTTGTATTCCCAGCACCCAGCACAGTACCTGACACACAGCAAGCACTCAATAATGAATAAAGTGGCAGAGTTGGGTTTCAAACTCAGGTCTTTTCTCTCTGGCACAAATCTCACGTTTCTTCATGCTACTTCTCAATACCGTGAATCTGAATAATTCTAAGAGCTGAGCTAGGTCTATTTTTGCCCAGCACTAATCAAAACACAGGTATATAGATTATTATTAGTTCCATGAGGATTCAGTTGATTATTTTTTTGTACAGCCCCTCCTCCATCATTCCACCACTTGGATCATCAGAGTACTTAGGATTACCTATATCTAAAATGATGGAACGGCTAGGCATGGTTGAGTGCACCTGTAGCCTTGGCTACTCAGGAGGCTGAAGTGGGAGGACCCCTTGAGTCCAGGAGTTGGAGGCCAGCCTGGGTAATACGCTGAGATGCTGTTGTTATAAATAAGTAAGTAGACTGAAAGAACTTTCTCTACACTTTTATATCCTTTTGTAACTCTTATCCTGTTGCTTCCACAACACCATTGAGGCAGGGAGAGAGTAAGTACTTGGGGAGCAAGGTAGATTTCATTTTTCTGGCAACTGACACTAAAAATGGATGCATCAATAGAAAGTCATCTCCCATCGTTTCCCTCAAGGTTTCTATGGATAGACATTAAAGGTTAGGTGCTAAAAGTTAACATTGCAAAATCCAGCTAAAATTGAAATTTTTAGGTAGTGAGTTCAATCTCACCACAGAAGTTTGTAAATGGGAGGACCTTTAGAGATCCTTTAGTCCAGACTTTCATTTAAGCTTCCACGAGGAAACTGACATAAGACCTATAATGGCTCACTCAAGGTCATCCAATCTATTGGTGCCATTATACATCTTTTTCAAAGGGTTTTATTTTCCATCTAAACAAATTATCTGCATCAGAATTCACCTATTTACATAGTGCTTATCATTATGATGTTGCCTTTGCAATGTCCTTATTATTAAGAGGAAGGAACTGAAAACAAACAAAACAAAACAAGGTTGTCTTGGCCAGGGACATAGGGAAATTGGTAAAAGAGACAATTAGTACACAAAGTGATGGAGTTTCCTATTTGTAGTGTAGCCTTGTAATCACACTCTCTTCTCTGAATGCCACAATGCTAACCCAAGCTTACTTGTCCTTCCTGGGCCTGGATTCCATTCAATGCTATGTCTTATTTAGTCTAAATGATTTCCCCAGCTTCAACGTGGTGTTTCTTCCCACCCCCTGCCCCACCCTGGCTTCATTTTAGGCATATACATAAACCTACTCTTTACTCGAGTTTGTCTTAGTTCTAGTGCTGAGGAATGAAGATTCTGGGTAAAAGAAATCGAGATGATTTTTTTTTCTAGGCTTTACATTTCAAGGATGGCTTCTCAGATGGCAACTGGCAGGTCTACTCCTCAAATGATGACGTTTTCCATGGGAATTAGAATTTAATTGGGATAATTTGTTTTCAACGGTAAGCAAAGATTTCTTTCCAAGAGGATCAGTTTGATAATGTTTTACCAGCTAGAGCTATGAGACCAAATATAAACCAGTTCTGAGAAACAGGAAGTGAACTGACTGGTCTAGTCTGAGTGTCCCTGGCGGTGACGCAAATACAGAAATCAAATTAGGAAAACAAGATATGTGGGTGTAAGGCAATCGATAATAACCCAGGATGCTACAACATAAGCAAGAACGCCTTTAACCCGATGCCGTTCATTTTAATAACACCCTGAGCAGTTTGATTTCCACGGAAGGCTCTGGTGATTAGAGAGCAGCAGGAGCTTGGGTTCCCTAGCAACAGCATGTGCTTTTGAGACAGTCATTAGCCTTTCAGTTAATCCCATCAACCCCTTACTCCTAAATGTATGACTGACTTTAAAATAAAATGATGTTTTACAAAGTGCTTTGAAATTTCCAGGAGTGCAATGGAAGGGAATAATCATAATTAAAAAGTTGTCTGGAGAACTCCACTCGGGTGAAGGAAGGAATGTTCCTATGTGCCCAGCCTGCCCGTACATTTCCCTGCTCTTAGTTGTAGGTTTCTGAATCCCCTGTGGGCAAAGGGCAAGGGAGGTGAAATTGTTCAGAGTTTCAGGCAGTCTCCTCACCCAACGTGAGTAGTATTGCAGTGCCTCTTGGAATCACGGCTCTGACAATGGGGAGAGGAACGGGGTAGGCAGTTTGTGCGGCGAGGAGGCTGGCTGCAGGTAGGCTAGGAGGGAATGTCACAAATAGTTTTCTTTCCCCTTTCAGCCGAAGGAGATACTCTGGTCAAAGGAAATTGGGGAAAGAGGGCGGTGAGGGGAATGAAGTTGTTCTTCCTATTGATTGTTTTATTGCACCAGAGGCTGTTTGTCCAAGGCCACTGGCCAAGAGCATTATTTTCGTGGCTAAAGTGAGGTTGGGCAGGTTTCCCATCCCTTTCACTAGTTTTAAACAAGACAACCCAGAAAGCGCAGCAAGGCTCTGGGAATACGATGTGGGTTGTCTTTTCCTACTCAGCTGCACCTTAAAGCGCCAGGCGGATAGGCTGATGCGTCTCAAACCCTGAATCATTGCCTCCAGCTCTGCCCTGGGTTCAGGATGCTCCACTCCACCCTCTGTGTAGCTTGGGTCAACTTCGGGGCGTCATTCGAATAGCAATTATTGCGGCGTTTGGCTGGACATCCTTATTACGGCCTGGGTCCCTCTCAGCTGGACACTGGGCTCCTTCAGTTTGGCTGGGGTGACTTCTAGTACTTCCCGCCGCCCCAGCTTACCCCCCTGCGCGCTCCCTTCCCAAGGCGACCACCTGCACCGCCCCACTTACCATCTGCCCCGCGGGGAGGGCTCCCCCGGGCTAGCGGAGCCCTCCCTGCTCCCGGGCGGCTCAGGAGGAGCTCCGTGTTTGCCTCCAGCCCTTCGTTACCGGAGGATCAGGTTCCTCCCCTCCTCCCCCTCCAGCTCCGGCCGCCGCCGCCGCCGCCTCCTTCTTGCATGACACAGCAGAACCGCAGCTGCTGCAGCAATTCCAAGCCATCCGCCCAGGAAGCACCGCAACCGGGACTCGGGAGGGGCGGAGGGGGCGAGGCAGGGGCCACGGCCCCGGGGGATCCTCGGCCCCACTGTGCACCACACACTCCTTTCCCAGCCCAGGGGCACGCGATCAAAATGAGGCTCAAGCTGACCAGGCCGAGCCGGAGGAACGCTGGGGCTTGGCAGCAGAAGGGATGGGACCAGAGAGGAGGGTGTGGAGGAGACCCCAGTGAGGGCCAGGACATTTCAGATAAAGAGAGGTAAGAAGAGGCCCAGAAGTGAAGGGCCAGACTGTGAAGCTGATTAGAGGTCAAGGAGAGGTAAGGAGGTAGAGTTTCGGGGAAGAGAGACTCGAGCTGGGAAGGGGGTGGGGGTGAGGGTGGGGGTAGCTGCAAGGGAAGGAGGGCTGAGGAGGGGGTACAGCCTTTGGGGAGGCCTGAGCTGAGCCCCCAGGCAGAAAAGGGGCTGAGTTGGGAGGCAAGGGGTGTAGGAGGAAAGGGATCAAAGAATTAAGCATGCGATAGGAAGGTACAACTTAGGATAAATATTACAGAATTAAATGGGTTGGAGTGGAACTCATTCATCATGGCTGATGAGGTAAACTGATGAGGTGGAAAGAGATAGAGTCAGGGCCAGGCCAAAAGAGAAGAACATCTTCCATCCCACTATTCAGTTTCCTGCGAAGTTTTTTCTTGATTCTGCCAATCCAGTTTCCCTTATAAAATGGAAAGGCATGAACTAAAAAATCCAGAAATAGCGATCTGGCTTAGATTTACAGAATAAAATCTCCATGTCTGTAAAAACTTTAAGACAGAAATTTGGGATTTACGGTAGAAACTTTTAAAGGGACTGTGAGTCAGTAATACCCACAGCACTCAACATTGTGTTTCCGCACATCCCTGGACTTGAGTCAGTCTTCCCAAGTGTTTGTTAATGCTAGAAATGATGACAAAATTCGTGGTTCAAAAATATTAAAGTGCACACGCTTTTTGCTTTCTCTACATATACACAGATACATATAGGTATACTTTCTAGCGTCTAGCAAGTATGGTATGGCCGAGGGATAATTATGTTGTTCTGATTATTTTATTTCCCATCAGACACCCCAGAATTTTACAGTCGACTGCTTTCTTGTCACCATTTGAAAGAATGTGGTCAGAAAAGTAATGCAAAAACTGCCACTTTGGTTTTGTCTGTACCTTCCAGGTCATATCTCCGTACCTCACTTCCTGACACAAACAAGTTTTCACTGTTGTCAGCAACAAAGCCCTAATATAGCTGCGGAAGAGAAAAACTGCATTGCATTTTGCCTCCTGCAAGCATCGTCAACAGTTACTGGAGGAATGTAATTCCAGAAAGCTTGAAAGCCGTGGTGATGGTAATTATGTATCAAATGCCTGGTTCTATTTCTGTTATTATTGTTTTGTCATTTCTGTTCTCCCAGCGATCTGACTGAACTCGCAGAGGGGCAAATCCGGTTTTTCTTTTTTGACTTTTGTCAAACTGAATCAGGCCTGATAGAAAAACTCATTGCTCTCCGGGGAAACAAAGTAGGAGCCACGAAATGTCATTTTAACAGAGCGTGGGTTTGCTGACTGTAGGAAAGGATTTGAGGACGCTCCTTCTGTTCGGCTTCCTATGTCATGAGCACAGGCTCCACGCACGCACAGACACCACGGCTCCCGGATGCTGTGGCTCCGCGATCTGGGCTCCTGCAGCGCCAGAAGCCCCTCCGGGATGCTGCGAGGGGCTCCCGGTGGGTGGAGGTACGGACGCCGTTGCGTCCGCCGCCGCCGCCAGTCCTGCTGCTGTTGTTGCTGCTGCAGTCACGTGGGAGCCCCTTTAAGTTTCCATAGAGAGGCCTCTCCGGTGTCACATGATGGACATGATATAATGAAACAACATTGTGGAGAGGAAAGCATTAGGGGAGCCCACGGCTACAAAAACAAGTGAGTGAGAAGAGGTGGGAGGAAGAGAAACTACGCCACCTCCCCTGCAGCCGAGCGCACGCAACAGCCTGGCGTGACAAGTGGGCGATGCCGGGGGAGGGGGCAGGGAGCCGGGGTCCTCGACCCTGGCCGGGGACCTCACCGCCCACCGCCCACCGCGCGAACAACTTTTAGCCCACAGCCCCGGTCGGCGCGGCACCTGTCTGCGGAGTCTCCACCGCTCCTCCAGATCATCCCAGGGAAATTCTCGAAGAATACGCTCTACAAATCTACGTGCGCATCGTTTTCCCCTCGCATCGCCCCCGGGAGGAAGGAACCAGGCAAAGAGCTAAGCAGCGTGCCTTTAGCCCTGGGGTAAGTTCGCCGGGTGGGGAAGCCGGTCCCGCAGGACTTTGGGATGGGAATTTTGCTCTCCTTTGCGATCTCTGGGCGTGAAGAAGGCGTCCCCTCCGCTCCCGGCGGGGCGGATCGGCCGGCTAGTCAATTTCCCCTTCACACGCCCAGTGCGCCCACCCTCGCTCGGCCCGGGGCTCCCTCGCCGCCCCCCACAGAAGGGGTCTGCGGTTCCCGGCCAGGACGTTCGGAAGGCGAGCGAGGGAAGGTAGGGCTGTCGCGGGAAGCCGGCTTGTGGGAGCGATTTCGCCATGTTTGTGTTGCTACGAGCACTTTTTCCCCTTTGCTGTGGCTTGATGCCACATGGCTCCTCCGGAGCTGCTGCCGGGCTGAGAGAGTGTTTTTTTTTTTTTCAATGTCCGCATTCCAGCTAATGTTGCGCAGATAAAATTCAAACTTGAGGTAAACAGAAGAAGAGGAGGAGGAGGAGGAGAGGAGGGGAGGGGAGGGAAAGGGGGAGGGAGGGGGGCTGTTTCCATTTCGAGATCCCACCTCTTCCCTCCGCGCAGCCCAACATCCCGAGCTTAGAGACAACTCTCGCCTTTCTCCCAAGTCCCCCACCTTTACTGTCAACAAGAAATAAGGCCGGCGGGGGGGGGTGGGGTGTTGGAGGTGGGGGGTGGCGTGCTTATTAATTAGAAAGGACGCGCTGTCTCGGTTCTCCACTGGAATCAGCAACTCCCTGGAACTCGGGCCTTCGGCCCCGTCCCTCTTCTATCCGGCAGGGACGCAGGATGCCTTGGCGCACTCTGGAGACGGGGACGGGAGGGTGCGCGCCCGGGTGGGGTGAGGGGAGCCGGTCCCTTCACTCCCTCTGACTTTAGGATACCAGACAGTGTTGCTTCCACCCCACCCCAGGCGCAGGTTTCCAGAAGGCGGAGTGGGTGGGGCCCCCGATTTCCAGAAGGCGGGTTACCTAGCAGGTGTGTGGGGTGGGCATTGCTATTCGGTAAGTCTGTTGCAAGGGGTAGGATGACGTGGGGAGCTTAAAAGCTTTAATGCCAGCGCAGGGGTAGAGCTGCGTCTGCTGTTTTTTTTTTTTTTTTTTTTCCCCTGTATGTGTGGCAAATTAGGGAGAAAAATCAAGACGTTCCCCCCAGTCCGCCCTCGGTGTAAACGTGTGCTCCAGCTTGCAGCCCGGCTGCTGGGTGAGTGGCCGACGATCGGGGCGAGGGAGAGCTTCGTCACGGGAAAGCTGGAAGGTCCTGACAGCTCGTAGCCGTCCTTCCCCCGCCCCGCCCCAGGCGGAAGGTGTGGGTTGGGTGGTCCGAGGAGGGTGACGTCCGAGGTGGGGTGGGCACAGGCTGGGGATCCCTCCAGCGCCCGGGGCCGTAGCCCGGGTCGCGGGGGAGCGCCGTGGCAGGGAGGCGGCCGGCCACGTGAGGGGTCTGCGGAAGCGCCGGAGCTGAAAGCCGGGGGCGAAGTGCGTAGCAGAGTCGTGACGGGGGTGACACGCAGCAGCCGGGGGCGGTGGGCCGCCGGAGCCGGGCGCCTCCCACACAGGGCCGGCATTCCCCGCCGCGGGTGGGTGCGCACTCGCCAGCCCTCTCCCGGGAGACCGTTTCCGGGAGCGGGCGCGGGCGCGGGCGGGGCGGGGCCGGGGCGGTAAACAGGGTGGCGCCCTCTGCCCTCCCGCCCCCGGCCTGCCGGGGCGCGCCGCCGGCGGCGCCCGGGGCGGTGGAGGCGCGGTCGCGGCGCGGGGCAGCGGGGGCGCGCCCGCTCGCCACCGCCCCCGCGCGCGCCCGCCGCCGCCCGGCTGTCTCCTCTGTTTTTGTTTTGATGGAGCCCGCGTGCAGCTGGCGCGTGTCGAGTCACGTGCTGTGGGCGGGAGGGGGCCGGGGCGCGGGAGGCTAGGGCGCGGTGACGCGGGCCGAAGGGGCTGGAGCCCGCGGGGGCCACGAAGAGGGCGCAAGGGGGCGTGTGGCCCCCGACGGAGCCCGGGCGCGCGGGTGGCCCGGCGCTGGCTGGTGCGCTTGGCGCTCCTCGGCGAGCAGTGGCGGGTTCCTAGTCGCAGCACCTCGGGGAGCCTCGTCCAGGCGGGAGGGCCGGCCTTCGCTGCTCGGCTCAGAACTCGGATCTTACAGGTGGTGTGTGCATATCGGGGGACGTCTTAGGCACTTCCGAGTACTTCTGAAGGCTGGCTGCCCGTTACACCAATTGGAGAGCTTTAAAAAGAATTCTGACACCCAGCCCAATCCCAGATCAATTGAACCCACATCCTATAGGGCCTGGACAGTGTATTTTTAATCCCCTCCTCCCCCTAAGTGATTTTCGTGCAGAGTGAGAATTTATAGAAGTAACCAGCTTGATGTGATAGCTAGTTGTGAAAGCATATCTATTTAGGGACAAAACAGGAAAAATAGCTGAAATAGCTAACATGTATTGATCTGTCACTCAGTGGGGTCTCCATGTGTCAGATACTGTGGCTACCCAAACATGGTTCTACTCGTAGAAGTACTGTTAGCTCTGTTTTACAGTTAGGGGAGTGGAAGCTCAGAGTTTGAGAGTTGATCAAGGAGGACTGCCCTGATCCAGGACCTAGAGAGGTCGAGTTTAGAACCGCTACTTTAAACAGTCGTATGTCTCCTGGAAAATATACCTTTGCTTAAGGGCCCCGTGTTTGTGTGAATAATAGTAGTTATGTTTGTCTAAGGGCCAGCTTGCTTATGTGGGTATGTTTCTACTGTTAACATTTTTGTCTGAAAAACTTTGCTTGTATAAGGGAGGAAAGTTACTTGATAATTCTTTAAGGACTGTAGACGACCTTTTACAGAAGTTTACTGTGGACCGAAGAGAGAGGGGATCTCCGTAATTTGAAGTGAATTGGTTCTCTGGAATTTCTTGTTCTGTTTTTGAGACGAACATATGTGTAAAGTGAAGGCGAGAGCCCGAAAGAGGCAAATATTTTCCAAGTATTTACGTGAGCAACCACAAGAGTGGTTTAGGTTACTGGATGCGATACACTTGTGGTGTGGTCACAGCTGGATGTACCCAGAAATGCAGTACAGTACAGAGTAGCAGAAATTCTGCCATTAGAATTTTAGAGAGAAAAAAACTGGTTTGGATTACAGAAATGGTGGTTACATCTCCTTTCTCCCCTTAATTTGTTTCATTTGTCTTCTGATCAGATAAACTGTTGGTGGGACATTTAGATATGGGAATAGTCCATTTCATTGGTATTTTCTGTACAGAAGTTCTAGAGAAAACTCAGAGTAAACAGTCTCACCCTGAAAACAAACGATCCTAGCTACAGTGTATTTGTGACCAATATGTATTATTAAGAGGTACCGTGTCACAAAGAACTTTATATTTCTACAGATTGCTGTCAAATATTGTTATCTGTATGGCAGGCATGGGTATATTATTCATCATGTTTTAGGGATTGATTTTCGTATTACTTGCAGTTTTGGTGAGGAAAGCTTATAGACCCACTCAGGCAAACCTGACCAGAACATGAATATCTGTGGTCTGGTGTGGAAATAGCTCTCTAGCCCTGTCTCCCTCCTCCCATTGTCCACCCACATCTTCCTTACCACCAAACACATTTTTCTCCTGTATTGCCAAACCACTTAGGGTTCCTGTGGACGGCTCTGCTTAGTTTGCTCTTCTGCTTCTTGGATAGCTCCTTCAGGAAATGTTCCTTGATTTCTCTTCATAAACCATCTAAAAAATACCCTTCCTGCGTCATCTCTGCATTGTATATATGGTTGTTTTATTGCCTTATATCACAGCATATTTCGTTGTGTTTGTTACGTATTGGACACGGCTACTAAACTGGGCTCTTCAAAGGTGGGAATGGTGACTTGTTTATCTGCACGTCACGGGCACACAGTGAGCACTTAAGTTTATTGCATTAGTTCACAATTAAATTTACTTCCTTTTAAGTAGCGTTATCTGTGTCAGTGTTTTCCTGAATCACTCATCTTCGTTCTGAACTGTCCTCACCTCCTTATGTCTACTAGTTGCTAGCCTAAAAACACAGCTAAAAGCGCCCCAAGAAAAAACTTACACGGGAAAGACACAATACTGGTAACACGTTAACAAAGAAATAGGAAGGAAGAGGCAAAATATCAGTTTTTCACTTGTTTGTGAATTTCATCCTTCATTGGCCGATTGGATGGTGTGAATTTCCTTGGTTACTAATGTATGCTGGGAGAGATACCCCTAAGGTTGTTTTTACTTTTCAACTTATTTGGAAAGGAAGAATTAGTACTACATTACCAGTGGACATGCTTTTATGTGCCATAACAGAGCACAGGTGCTTCATCGCATTTCATTGCTGTAATTATCAGATTGAGTATTACAGAGGTATTTTAGAGCAGCACTGTCCCACAGAGCTTTTGGAGAGGATAGACATGATTTATAAAAATCTGTGTTTATCCAGCATGGTAGTCACTAGCCACTTACAGCTATTGAGCACATTAAGTGTGACTGATGAACTGAATTTTCTTTTTTTTTTTTTTTTAAAAAAAAAAAGGGTGTTATTCTATCACCAAGGCTGGAGTGCAATGGTACGATCTTGGCCCACTGCAACCTCTACTTCCCAGGCTCAAGCAGTCCTCTCACCTCAGCCTCCCTAGTAGCTGGGATTACAGGCGGCTGCCACCACATCTGGCTAATGTTCGTATTTTTAGTGGAGATGGGGTTTCACCATGTTGCCCAGTCTGGTTCCGAACTCCTGGGCTCAAGCAGTCTGTCCACCTCTGCCTCCCAGAGTGCTGGGATTACAGGCATGAGCCACTGTGCCTGGCCAGAATTGAATTTCTAATTGATAAATGTAAATAGCTGCTAGTGGCTACTGTATTGGATGGCACAGTTACAGAGGATATGTCTGTTTAAATCTAGGATTTGACAGGTCAACATTTAGGCTAAGGTATTCAGCCTTTAAAAGTCTGCAGTCATCTTCTAGGCCCTCACACCATGCTTCCCATTCATAGATTATAAGGTGCTTAGTGGGTGAT